CTGCGGTTCAAGGACTGTGGCCCTCCATGCCCTTTCCACTGTAGCTTCACATCCTCCCCTGTACAGGACCTCAGCCACTCATGATTCCTCCATTTCTCTTGGTAAATCCAAATAAAGTCAGAATAATTCCACCCTTTTCCAAGACCCATCTTTGAACAAATATTCTTGAAACTAGCTGAACTTGAGCTGACCCTGCCTGATGAAACCCTATAAAAAATTCCACCCTCCTTCCCAAGTTAGAATGTGCCTCATGCCGACAGTTTTGAAAAAAAGACTTATGCTAATGGTGCTCTTGTTATTTTCCACAAAGGATATGAGTAAGAGATACTGAGATGCTAGCAGCTGGGAGGTCAAAACCTATGGAGAAGGTAGCCTGGGAGAATGAAATTAACATGGGAACAGGTGAAGAGATAATCGCTGAGGAAAGAGAGAGATCCAATGATACTTGTTTTTCTATCCTGTTTTTCAAACACCATCACAACATGTTATCACCATTTTTTTTTGTTTCTTATGTAAATGAACTAGTTAAAATGTAGGATTAAAAAAAGAGAGGGTCACAACAGTTCTCAAATTTGGCTGTGCAATCATATAATGTTTTTTATAACTCTGTACTGAAGTAAACCCAAATCTAGAGCCTCTATGTCCAGTAATAAGGGTAAACATCATCTTGCCCTTGTAATTAGCTCATTCAACTAGTCTTTTCTGGGTAAATGCTCAGTCAGAAACTCAAGGTTCTCTTTGCCCCTTGCCAACCCTACTTTTGGGGAGAACTACATTGCTAGAGAATCAGGGTGCTAAAAGGTGATTTTTAAAATCTTTATTGTTGAGAATATTACAGATTCCCCCCCCCCCCCACATTGCCCCTCTCCTCTCAGTTCCTGCCCCACCCTAGGACTTCACCACTCTATTGTCTTTGTTCATGGGTAATGCATATATACTTACATGTTTTTTGGTTAATCTCTTCCTGCCCCCTCTCCCCCTTCCCTCTGAGGTTTGTCAGTCCTTTCCATGTTTCCATGAATGTTTCTATTTTATTCATCAGTTTATTTTGTTCATTAGATTCCACATATAAGTGAGATCATATGATACTTGTTTTTCTCTGACTGGCTTATTTCACTTAGCATAATACTCTTCAGGTCCCTCCATTGCTGTCTCAAAGGGTAAGAGATCCTTCTTTTTTATAGCTGCATAGTATTCCATTGTGTATATGTAGCACGGCTTTTCTATCCACTCATCTCTTGATGGGCACTTGAGTTGTTTTCAGATCTTAGCTGTTGTGAATAGCACTGCTATGAACATAGGGGTACATATATTCTTTCTGACTGGTGTTTCAGGATAATTAGGATATAGTCCTAGGAGTGGGATCACTGGGTCAAATGGTAGTTCAATGTTTAATTTTTTGAGGAAATTCCATGTTTTCCATAGTGGCTGCACCAGTCTACATTCCCACCAGCAGTGTACTAGGGTTTCCTTTTCTCTATATCTTTGCCAGCACTTGTTGTTTGTTGATTTATTGATGGTAGCCATTCTGGAAGGTGTGAGGTGGTACCTCATTGTCATTTCAATCTGCATCTCTCTGATGTTTAGTGACTTTGAGCATCTTTTGTATATGTCTCTTGGCCATTTTTATGTCCTGTTTGGAAAGTGTCTATTCAGGTCCTCTGCCCATTTTTTAATTAGATTGTTTGTCTTCCTTTTGTTGAGTTGTATCAGTACTTCATGTATTTTGGAAATGAACTTCTTATCAGATGTATCATTGGCAAAAATATTCTCCTAAACAGTGGGTTCCCTCTTCATTTTTTTTTTTTTATCCTCACCCGAGGATATTTTTCCATTTTTTGTACAGACAGAGTGGGAGGGAGAGAGAGGGAGAGAGAGAGAGAAACATCGACGTGAAGGGACACATCGAGTGGCTGCCACCCGCACGACCAACCAGGGCCGGGGACAAACTGCAACCGAAGTACGTGCCCTTAGCGGGAACCGAACCCGGGTCTCTCCGGACCGCAGGCTGACGCTCTAACCGCTGAGCCAAACTGGCCAGGGCCATTTTGATACTGCTTTCATTGCTGTGAAGAAGTTTTTTAGTTTGATGTAGTCCCATTTATTTATTTTGTCCTTTGTTTCTCTTGCCTTAGGCAACGTATTGGTGAAAATTCTGCTATGTAAGATGTCTGAACTTTTGCTGCCTATGTTTTCTTCTAGGCTTTTTATGGTTTTATGACTTACATTTAAGTCTTTTATCCATTTTTAGTTTATCTTGTGTATGTTGTAAGTTGATGGTCTAGTTTCATCTTTTTGCATATACCTATCCAATTTTCCCAGCACGATTTATTGAATAGACTGTCCTTACTCCATTGTATGTTCTTGCCTCATATGTTAAATATTAATTGAGCATAATGGCTTGGGTCGATCTCTGGGTTCTCTGTTCTGTTCCATTGATCTATATGCCTGTTCTTGTGCCGGTATTTAAAAATGGTGACTCTCATACAAATATAAAATGAATGTGTCAAAGAATTTTTATTTCACTCACTATTTATTGAGGAAACCAGTAAGAAGTAAAAACGGAGTCAAAGGAGAATCCAAAGGAAAAACGCATATATGGGCATCAGCAATTCTGATTGAATTTGCTGATCAGTGCAAAACTGGCCTCTTCCATAGAGTGGAAATTGATGCACCATCATTAGACAAAATTAATTTGTATTTCTAAGAATGGGAATTAGTTATATCACTATCAGCCTTCCACAAGTTAACTTCAATTTTTAGAGACCTGAAAACTAGTCAAGAACAATGATTTTCAACCTTTTTCATCTCATGGCACACATAAACTATTTACTAAAATTCTGTAGCATATCAAAAATACATTTTTTGCCAGTCTGACAAAAAATATAGGTATAATTCATTCACAATGGATAGGTATTGTTGTGTTGGCTGTTGTCATTTTTTAATTTGACAAACTCAAGGAAAAGAGGTCAGTGCCCCTGACTATATAGTCAGGTGTAGCATGTTTTAAACATTCTTGTGGCACACTGGTGGAAAATCTCTGGTCAAGAACAATGAAAGACACAGACCTCTGTGGAATCAGGTGACCCTGGAAGGGTCCTTTCTCAAGAAATTCTGCCAAGAATTTTATCTGTTCAGTTTGATATACACAGGATGTACAGACTGGCTAAAACAGAAGTGATATTTGAATAACCAAATCAGAGAAATTTCCTGCCACATATGACAAACTAAAACTATTCTTTTCATACGGTCTTCCAATACAATTCATGGACATTGTGACAACACAATGCTCCCCTAAATATCTGGTTTTTCCCATTAATTTAATTAGGGCAACTTCTTCAGGCTCATTGGGAAACTGTCACCAGCCTTGGACCCCCCTGAAATGCATGTGCAGATGGAGTGCTGTCTCAGAACCAGGGTTTCTGTGGGAGGAAGAAATAGGTTTGACATTTCAAAATCAGACATAACAGAATATCTGAATATGGACTTGGACCCCAATTAGGAACCTGAAAATCATGAAAAAATACTTAAAAACCAGCACTCCTGTTCCCTGGCCCCCACCTGCCTCTGAAACACATGGCGCTTACATGGGAATATTTCACCCTGACTTTTTGTATCAGGAAACATGATGCATACTTTTGGTTTGGTAAGAGATCAAGAAATAAAAATGCCTATGGTCTGGTAGAATTGCTCCTCAGAGCTCATGGTAGATTTATTTACTCCTTACTGGGAGAAAAATGGCCAAATCAAGCAAATTAAATTACAGCAGGTGGGAAATCAGCCTCTTGTACACCATCCCCCTTCACAGCTGTGAGAGGTGGAGCTAGAAACTGAGAGTCGGTAATTGCAAAGGCAAAGCCAAATGAAGGCTCAGTATAGGCCCAGATGAAGGGTAAAATTATAGATTAAGGGTCAGAAGACTGAGAGGTGTTCTACTGGTGTGCCCCATTGATTTTGCTTTTCTCTTGGTCTAGGATGGCTCTCTGGGGTTTAAATACCAACACTGGCATTGTACCCAATAATACAGTACTGGGTTCATTCTTCTATCCATCTCTTCAAGCGTGTATATACTAAACACATGTCGACTGTCATCCTGATGTCCTTAAGTCCTCTAGTCTGCGAAGTTGCTTATATATTTAATGTTTAAATAAAAATAGCTGAGTCCTCATCCTACATTCTATGGAGAGTTCAGTGCCTTTCCCAAGATGTCTGCAAATCCAAGCTGCTGCCATTGCTGTGCTCACTCTTTGCTCAGATTTCCTTGTCCCACTACACTCTCAATCCACCTCCCATTCCACTTCCTATGGCTCTTCTCCCCTCCCATCCCCTCTCCCCTCCCTTCCCCTCCCCTCTCCTCCCCTCCCCTCTCCTCCCCTCCCCTCCCCTCCCTTCCTCCCTTCCTCTCCTCTGCTCCCCTCCCCTCCCCTCTCCTCCCTCCCCTCTCCCCCCTCCCCTCCCCTCCCCTCCTCCCTTCCCCTCCTCTGCTCTCCTCTCCTCTCCATGCACTGTTACCTTACAAGGGGAAAATAGCATGTATTTCTCTGATTTTTTTCATCAATGCAAGAAATTCACATGTAGCAGACATTTAGTGAACTTTGACACAATCATTTTACAATGCTGAGCAGTTTTAGCAGAAAATTTAAAGTAAAATATGCCTCCTTTTAAAACCTCTTTTAAAAATGATGAAGTAAATGTGGTGAAAAGTTAGTAAAGTCTAAAACGAGATGATTACAATGGGTTGATTTTACCGTATTTTGCTGTCTGTGTTAGAGTAGTGACAGGACAGCCATAATACAGGGACCAACAATGTGGACACTGATTTCACTCTCACATTACAGTCTTGAGGGGAGTGGCTGGGTGGGCGGGATGACTCTGCAAGGTCATGCAGAGACCCAGGCTCCTTGCATTTGTTTCGCTGCTTTCCCCTAGGCCTTGTCCATGACTGCACCCCCATTCACAGGTAACACAAAGAGGGGAAATGCAGGGCAATCAGATTTTTCCTATGTGGGATGGTTGATCTTGAGCCTGTAGGGAGCAAGCTGGCCCAAGACTTCTCCAAGTCCACATTTCTTTGCCTCCAATTCTTGTGTCCAATGTTAGGGAAACCACAGGCACACCTTTGTAGGAGGGTCAGATTTTTTTCTAAGTACAGACATTCTATACATCACTTTCACTCACTTTCCACAGTCCATGACCTAGGCCAAGGTAACTAGAAAATGCAGCCTCTAGCCAGGTGGCCCAACTCTATTCCTCTGGAAGAAGGACAGACAGCTAGTATGCTGTACCACACTGGCTGTTCCCCTCCACAGGATCCCTGGTTTCCCTCCATGGGGGAGGGCTTCTGGGTTCCCTCCTCTGCCTCTTTTCCCAACTTCCCAACCTCTATCAGATACCTGTTTGTTATGGGCTAAATGGGTTCTCCCAAGAGTCATATGTTGAAGTCCTAACTTCCCAATACCTCCGAATGTGACTGTATTTGAAGATAGGCTCTTTTTAAAAAAGATTTATTAAAGTATAATCGATATACAAAGCTGAACATATTTAATGTGTACAATTTGATGGGTTTGAACATATGCGCACACACACATGAAATTATCACCACAATCAAGGTAATGTATTGATCACCTGCAAAAGTTTCCTCCTGCTCCCCTCCTTTTGTACGTATGTATGTGTGTGTGTGTGTGTGTGTGTGTGTCTGTAGTAAGAACATATAACTTGAGATCTACCCTCTTAACAAAGTTTCAGTGTATATCAGAGTACTATGAATTATAGGAACTATGTTATATAGCAGACTTTTAGAATTTATTCATCTTTATAACTGAAACTTTATATTCAGTGAACAACTTCAAATTTCCTCTTCCCCCAGCCCCTAGTAATGACCACTGTACTCTCTGCTTCTGTGAGCCTGATTATTTTAGATACTTTATATAAGTGGGTTCAAAATAAAATATCACCTCACACCTGTTAGGGTGGCTAATATCAAAAAACAGGAGACAACAAACTAGTGTTGTTAAGGATGTGGAGAAACTGAAACCATTTTATGTTATTGGTGGGAATGTAAAATGGTGCAACAATTATAGATACATTATGGAGGTTCCTCAAAAAAAATTAAGACTAGAACTGCCATAGTATCCAGCACTCCCATGTCTGGTTATATGTCCAGAGGAACTGGATCGGGACCTCTAAGAGACAGCCTCTTTCCGTGTTCATTAGAGCTCCAGCCACAACATCCTGAACACAGACACAACCCAACTGCCCACTGATGGGTGAACGGATGAAGCAACTGTGGTCTCTATATACATACAGTGGAGCTGGTCAGCCTTGAAAAAGAAGGAAATCCTACAATATGCAGCAACCAAATCCAGGTTCATCTGGATGGACCTGGAGGACACCATGCTAAGTGAAGTAAGCCAGTCACGGGAGAAGATAGGGTCTCTAAAGGGGTAATTAAGTGCAAATGAGGTCATTCAGGTGGGCCCTAATTCAGTGTTAATGGTGTCCACACAAGGAGAAGAGATTAGGACACAGACACACATAAAGGAAAGACCATGGGAAGGCAGAGGGAGAAAGTGACAAACTACAAGCCAAAGAGAGGCCTCAGAAGAAATCAACCCGGCCAACACCTTGATTTTGGACTGTTAACCTCCAGAACTGTGAGAAAATACGTGTCTGTTGTTTAAGCCACCGGGTCTGTTTTACTATGTTATGGCAGCCTGAGCAAGCCAATATGCTACTGATTTTAAAGTAGAACAGTTTTACTCTCCACTTCACTCTCTGAACTCTGGCAGCCTCCCTTGGTAAACCCCTGGCCTCATTGAGGTGCTCTTCCAGGCAAAAGGCCCTTCTCTCCAGGTGTCTGCCCTTCAGCGCACAGAGCACCCACAGAAGCCGAAAAATTAGTCCTTCCTTGAATGAGATCAAACTCTTTGGCCCACCAATCTCCTTTACTTGGAAGAGGGCAGTATAAAAGCCTATTCTTTCTTCCTTTCTTTTTTATTTAATTAATTTATTTTTGTTACAGATGTTTCTCCTTTTCCCCCACTGATTCCCCCCTCCCCCTCCCTCCCTGCCCTGTCCCCAGCTTTGCTGTCCATGCCCACTGTTCATGCATACATGCATATAAGTTCTGTGGTTTATCTCTCCCCCCCACCCCCTCTTCTGGGGACTGTCAGTCTGTACCCCACTTCCACGTCTCTGGGACTACCCCATTCCTCAGACTGTTATGTTCATTATATTCCACAAATAAGTGAGACCATATACTTGTCTTTCTCTGTTTAAAGCCTATTCTTCCTTAATAAGAAATACGCCACCGCTTAAGAAGCTGGCAGCAGCTACAGCCGACTTCCTCCGCCTGCCTGAAGCAGCGGTTTTCCCGTCCCCGGCACCGGCACGCGCACCCGCACCCCCCCCCACCCCACCCCCGGCACCCGCTCCCGCACCCGCACCGCCCGCGCGCGCGCGCACAGCAGCTCGGGAGGTTCCTGAGAGAAGGCCACCAGCTCCAGCCCTCGTGGGACTCACATTCCGATGGCGAGACAGACATGAAAAGAGTGAACAGACCAATGAAATATAAGTTGCTAATCATAGGGGCTGTAACGACAGAGACGGGAACAGGTTTCCCCCGCTCTCCGAAGGCAGCGCATTCCTGGGAAACCTCTCATAGCCTGAAATGGCAAAAAGCAAAAAAAGCAATTACCCTTGGTTTATATAAAATATTTTTTAGTGTTCCCAGACCCGAACTATAACCTGCCACATTATCCCAAATATGCTTAATTATGTCGCGTTTTATGCGAAGCATAACAGCCTTATGGGCTCTCTGGGGCTTCCCTGGTATCTCAGGGCACATCTTGCTAATGGGAGCGCAAAGTGCGCGACAGAGCACAGGTGCGACAGACACGGCTCAGCCACGGCCGCGCGACGCTGAGATGCTGCGTGTGGTTCCCGGGGCGCAGGGCCTCCGGGGCGCAGGATCTCCCGGGCGCGGGGCCTCCGGGGCGCAGGATCTCCCGGGCGCGGGGCCTCCGGGGCGCGGGGTTTCCGGGGCGCGGGGTCTCCCGGGCGCAAGGTCTCCCGGGCGCAAGGCCTCCGGGGCGCGGGGTCTCCGGGGCGCGGGGTCTCCGGGGCGCGGGGTCTCCCGGGCGCGGGGCCTCCGGGGCGCGGGGTTTCCGGGGCGCGGGGTGTCAGGGACGCGGGGTCTCCCGAGCGCGGGGTCTCCGGGACAGCTCACTGCAAGACAATGCTGACTGCGATTTCCACCTCCCCCTTGTTTCCACAAAAGTGAAACGCTGCGGCGGATTTCCTTCAGTTAGCAAAAGCAGGTGTTAATGTAGGTCTTTTATAAAAGCAAAGTGGTAGAAAATGAACTTCCAAAGAGCAGGGATACCTGCGCTGTGACAGACACGAAGACCGGAAGGTTTAAGCCACTTCAGGATTCTCGGAGAGGACACGAATCACAGGCCTCAGGATGAAAAGAAACCAACATGCCTTTCGGGAAAACGAGGGTGAGAGCATTCCTGGGGGGCTGTCCGGGAAGTATTTCCAGGGATATTTTTCTTGGTGAAAAGAACCGAGGCACCGTGTCTACCCAGGTACTGGGAATACAGACATGGAGGGGAAATTAAACTATCTGCTCACAGAGCTAATGGTCTAGTGGGAAGAGATCTGAAAACACCACTCAGTGAGGGACCGATAACGCAGGTGGTGGTAGATGCTATGATGGATAAAGTACAGCAGGATAAGAGAAAAGAGAAAAGGGGTAGGGAGAGGTTGCTCTTTTGTCTAAGGGGAAGAGAAGGCTTTTTCTGATGAAATAAGATTTGAAGATTTTTCTTTTTTAAAAAAAGAAAGAGGTTGGGAGATATCTCGAAGAGACTTTAAGGGAGCCGTGCAGTGTCTCAGGAGGAATATTCAAGGGCAGGGAACAGCAGGGCCAAGCCTGTCCAGACACTGCCGGCAGGGCAGAGGGACAGGAGAGAGGTAGGAAATGATGCCAGAGAGAAGCCACAGCGAGTTTATGTCAACCGTGGTCGAGCATTCCGGTTCGCTCTCCAGTGAGATGACATGTCACTGGAGGAGAGTTTTGAGCAGAGGAGTGTGATCTGATTTATATTTTACAAGGATCATTGCAGCTGCGGTGTGGAAAACAGTCTGGGGGTGGAGTGGGGGCAGGAGTAGAGGCTGGGAGAGCAAGTAGGCGGCTCCCGCACTAATCCAGGGCAGAGAGGCTGGCGGGCGGGTGTGCAGCTATTGCGGAGGTGGTGGGAAGCTGTCAGGTTCTGCACGCGTCTTGATGATAAAGCCTGAAGCCAAAAGGACTTGCCAAAGGGATGCGTGTAGGATGTGAGAGCGAGAGAGACATCTGCGACGGCTTCAGGGTTTGACTTGAGCAACTAAAAGGATGGAGTTGCCATCTATAGAGCTGAATAGGGTTGTGCGTCTCCCTGTGTTCTTCCCTGTGGAGTCCAGTGCTGCTCCGGGGAGGGGCCTCATCTCTACCAGCAATTCTTACCGACCGGTGCAGGGCACAAGAGAAGGAAGGGGACAATGCCTGTTGAGGGCTTCATGTTTATCAGTCATTCTATTAGGTGCTTTATTGTGCATTATCTCATTTCTTCTCTACACGAAAAACCCTGTGAATTTCTTCTTGGGGGGTGGGGTGTCACCTTTGTTTTTAATTTTTTTTTCACCTACAAATTTTATTTTTATTCATATTTTATTATTAAAATGATTGGGAAGGGAATAAAACTGAGACCAAGTGGGCTAAAGAAATGCTCCCCAGGCCCACCAAGTCAAAAGTGCAGAGCCTCTCCAAACTCAGGAGGTCTACTAACCTCTCAGGTGGATGGATATTCATCCCGTTTTTTAGAAAAGTGCATGGGACAGGAAGCCTGGAAGGTGCTGGGAAAGACATGAGGGCCCAGGGCAAACACTGGGATGATGAGGGTAAGTCCCAAGTAAACCAGAAAATTCTTTTTTTTTTAAATCCTCACCAGAGGATATTTTTTTCTATTTATCTTCAGACAGAGTGGGAGGGGGAGAGAAACATCGACATGAGAGGGACACATCAACTGGTTGCCTCCTGCATGACCCTGACCAGGGACAGGGACAAACTGCAACCGAGGTACATGCCC